CGGCTTATTCATCTTATTATTTATAGAGGTCTCACTATAGATCAGTTTATTTCTTAGTTTCATTTGAGCATATTTCACAGAATGATTAATAATTAAATACTGGGTGCCAACAGCCTTACTTATATTTGGCTTTTTATGTGTTGCTTCTTGTTACCTTATACCCAACCATGTGGGATTGAGTTTATTGTGCTAATAGGCAGGTATTACCTATAAAAGAATGGAAAAAGGTTGTGGCAGTTGGTCATTCTTTGACTTACATTTGTAGAACAGTTAGAGTAATACTGGAAGGCTCCCTTGTGGAGAAATGTTTCTCTTACCAGCTTGTCCTGGTATCTAAAATAGATATTTTCTTTATCTAGACCTTTGTTTTATCTCTAGAGGAAACTTTGTGTACATATGGATTTGCAAATTTCATGACAACTATTGATCTAGATGGGTTGCTGGAGTATAGCCTCTAGGCCAGCAACATTGCTCAGCTGAGAAGCATGTCAGAAATGCAGAATCTCAGTCCTACTCTATAACTGTAGGATCAGAATCAGCATTTCAACAAGATTCTCAGGTGGTTCATACTCATATTAAGTTTGAAAAGAGTTTATAGAACACATGACTTTTGTCTAGAGTAAGGAGGAGGAGCAGGCTAAACAGCGATAGAGAAGTATAGGAAACCAATTTGGCTTAGTTGATTAACTTATTTTAGAATGGCTCTGTGAATAGTTGCAAGAGAATTCTTGAAAAGCAGGTGTGTGTGTGCGTGTGTGCGCGTGTGCATTTAGTGTCTGGTTTTGTCACCATGCAAATAAACTTACTTGGAAAATATTCTTTGAGTCAAGTGGCATTCAAATAGAAGTGTTACTGAATTTCCTACAGCTCATTGTTTATTATTTATTTCTTGAGGAAATACCTCAGCTTAATTCTTTGGGAACCTACTTTTACTGTTTTATCCAAAAAAGTAAATGCCCATTTATCCCTCTTAAGGGCAGGATCACACAAACATTAAGTAGTTTTGCTAGGATTTAGCAATGCTTTTTCTTTTTCCATTTATCCTTGTTTCTTCAAATCCAGTGGTGTTTGAAAACCAAAGCACATATTTCTACATCCTTCATGTATCAAGGATACCGTATTGCCAAGTATTGGCTAGTCTCTGTGAAAGAACTCAGATTCGCCTTTTTACTTGACACTTTATAGGTAATTAAGCAATCATATGTAATAAATAGGTATGCTTAATTATCTTATTCAAAGATAAATGAGGTTGGTGGCAGTGGGGTGGATGAATTCAGGTGTATTTTCTTTGCTTTTATCTGTTTTTCACATTGGTTTTGTAAACGTCCTGTGTTGTGGACGTTTTTTGTATTTTTGGTAGAGATGGGGTGTCACCATGTTGGCCAGGGTAGTCTTGAATTCCTGAGCTCAGGCGATCCGCCTGTGTCGGCCTCCCAAAGTGCTGGGATCACAGGCATGAGCCACCGCACCAGGCCCGGTATTGTTATCTTATTGGACCACTATGGAATATGCGGTTCATTGTTGACCGAAACGTCATTACGTGACTTGTGACTTGTTTTTCCTTAAGTTAATAATGAAATTACTTTGTAACAAAGTTTTTTGGTAACTGTTCTTAAATTCCGATTTTAAGATGAACTCCATTGTTTAATCACTGAGTCAGACTTTTTTTTGTACTTTGGCAATTTATGGATTTACTTGACCTGTTTATGTGTAGCATTCTAAATATATACAGAAGGACTTCCAAAATCAGTAGATGCTTAATTTCAGTGCATGTTATTGAAATACAAATTTAAAAAAAAGGAATAAATACCATTTCATACCCAGATTGACAAAAATGAAAAATCCTGACAGTATCAAATATTGGCAAGGATGTAGAGGAATGGGAACCTTTAACTATTGCTTGTGTTAGCAATGATGAAATACAATTAAAACCAAAATCAGCTGGCCCCAGAAAACATCTCTTCAAAGGCAGAAGAAAAAGGAAACAATTTCAGTTTTGAATAAGTATTAAACCAGAATGACGTGTATCACAAACAATCTGATAAAAGATTGCAAAGACCAAAAGAATGCTCACCCTTACATATAGCGAAGTAGATGCAACCCATTACATAAATGTTCTCAAGATAAATAGTAAATAGTGTTCAAGTAACAGGACATGATACCATCATTTGTCACACATAGTTTATCCTGAATTCACTTGGTAGTTGGAGCAAACTTGTGTGTGAATGAATTGGCTTTTTCTAAAGGAAAAATGAACTCATATCTTTATGACAGGATGTAATTTTACAACTTGGAACTAGATGGCCTGCCAAAGTTAGGCACCCTGTCCTCCCACAGAAACTGGGAGATAAGGGTGCCATCTCTCTTGATGATCTCATTTGAAAGAGATGGCTATAAGGTTCTTGAGAAAGGCAGTTTTGGGCCGCTGGCTAGCTTTTACAAAGATTTACATACATCTCTAAGCAGGCAGAGAAAGAATTTACCAGGTTTTGAAAGAAAATCCTCTAAGTAAAAGGGATGGGGGAGTACAGGTAGATTTAGGCCTCCTATTTTAAATTTTCATTTGCCTGTATACTGATGGATAAGTTGATCCAGCTACCTTAGTGGGCAACTTAGCAATGTTGTAGTCGGATTGAAGAAGAGTACACCCTCCGATTTAGCATTTTTACTTTTAGAGAAACTGTTAACACGTGTTCATAGGATACTTGTAGCAGTATGTATTAATAGTGAAATATTGCCAACAACTAAAATATTTGTAAGTAGGAAAGTGAATAAATTTTGCTATATTCATATAGTATAATACTATATAGCTTTGCAAATGAATGATTTAGGGCAGCATCTGTCAACTTAAGTAATTTTCAAAAACAATGTTGAATTACTAAAGCAAGTTGCAGAAGAAGGATATGTACAATATATTGATACAACATTTGAAAACATGTAGAACAATACCATGTATTGTTTATTGATACATATACAGTGAAAGTAGAATAGAATGATAAACATCAAAATCAGGAAGTGGTTACCTCTAAGGAGGGAGGTGTACAAAGGGATCAGCAAGATATCTATTTATTTCTTAACCAAGGAAAATCTTAAGTAAATAAGGTAGAATGTTAAGGTTTAATTTATTTAGGCAGTGGGTATGTGTGTGTTTGTTATATTATTACCTAGATTCTTTTGTAATGTTTAAATATTTAATGATTAAAAGTTTTTTTTTTTTTTTTTTTTTTTTTTGGGAAAAAGTTTCGCTCTGTGCCCCAGGCTGGAGTGCAGTGGCGCGATCTCGGCTCACTGCAAGCTCCGTCTCCCGGGTTTACGCCATTCTCCTGCCTCAGCCTCCCGGGTAGCTGGGACTACAGGCGCCCGCCACCACGCCCGGCTAATTTTCTTGTATTTTTAGTAGAGACGGGGTTTCACTGTGTTAGCCAGGATGGTCTCGATCTCCTGACCTCGTGATCCGCCCGCCTCGGCCTCCCAAAGTGCTGGGATTACAGGCTTGAGCCACCGCGCCCGGCCTGATTAAAAGTTTTAAAAGAAAGAATGGATGGCAAGCGGTGGAAGGAAGTGAGGACATCTCTTCAAGAAAATTTGTTGTAAAGGGAACCAACAAAATGGAGAGGTAGTTGAAGGGAAATCAATCAGTGTTAGTATGACACATTTGCATGCTAATAATAATCAAGTAAAAAGGGAAGAATTGGTATAGGAGACCTATAATAGTTATGGGAGCAGAATCCTTGAGAAAGAAAAAAATGATGGGGTCCAGTACAGAAATACTGTTTGACTCTTGATAGGAACAAAGACAATTTGTTGGAATAGGAGGGAAAGCAGAATAAGTGGTGGGAAGATGAAGTAGTTATCTTCTGAATTTAGTGTGGCCAACATCCAGGTTTGCTTGTGATTTAGCAGTTTCTCAGAATGCATGACTTCCAGTGCTAAAACTGGGAAAGTCTTGGGCCAACTTCTGATTGTTTTTCCTTGACAAAATGAAAAGCATCAATTATCTTCTGGAAGTGATAAGGGGATGAAGGAAATATTGAGGCTTAAGGTGAAGCGAGAAGCTATGAGTTAATTCTCTAAAAGATAGGAGAGCAGATTCACTACGTTAATGTGATAGGATTTCTGAGCATTTCGGGGGTCTGCTGAAATTTATGGTTATTATTTTAAAGTTTATATGGTTGTATTTCTCTTCAGTCTCGTTCAGCTATTCGGGTAAAAGTACTGAGTTAAGTGGAAAGTTGGTTTTAAACTATGTTTTGACTGTGATGGAGGGAGAGAGGAGCAGAGGAATGAGGCCACAGGCAAGGAAATGATTGTGTTGATGGATTTTTGAGTCTCAGGCTAGGTAAGAAGTAAAGAGAGACGAAGGAGAGTGGAAAAATTTGTAGGGTCTGTTGGAGTTAACAGGTTTCTGGTAGTGAATTGGAAAGATCTGTATAGTATATTGAATAAAGATGCTGAGATGCTTGAAATTGAGATTTTTAAGGTAGGGTAGTTACTGGTTATCGATTTCATTGTGAGAATAGGAAACTGGAGTGGGATGGAAGAAAAGATCAATAGTAAATACACATATCTCAAAAAGATCATCTTCTGTGGATGTCATTTCAGTGATTAATCTGTAGAGCAGATTTTGGTGCTCTATAACATATTCAGTTATTTCCTCTTCATATACTGAGAGTCTTCTGCTTCCTGTTTTATTTTGTTTAAATATTGCCTCAACTTGTAAATCATGTTGTATTGCTCTGAAATGAAGACAGCTGTAAATAAGTAAATTGATAAAAGCAAATTTTGTTTAGTCAGAATTTGGCCTTTTCGTATGGCTTGTTAGAGACTGTGCAGTTGGTAAATTCAAACATTAACGACCCCACTAACATAATAGCTTAATGATCCTATTGCTCATTAAGCTAGTATAGTCCCACGTAAATTCAGTGAGGGCTTTATGCCATGTATGGTTATCTGTAGTACATTGCTTTGCTGACTCTAATTTTGTCTTTGTCTTTTTATAGGACCGCAGCTGAATGCACAGCTAGAAGGTTGGCTTTCTCAAGTACAGTCTACAAAAAGACCTGCTAGAGCCATTATTGCACCGTAAGTCTTTGGTTTTTGTTTTTGTTTTGTTTTGTTTTTTGAGAAGGAGTCTCCCTCTGTCACCCAGGCTGAAGTACAGTGGCACGATCTCAGCTCACTGCAACCTCCGCCTCCAGGGTTCAAGCGACTCTTCTGCCTCAGCCTCCTGAGCAGCTGGGACTACAGGCCTGTGCCACCACACCTGGCCAATTTTTGTATTTTTAGTAGAGACGGGGTTTTACCATGTTGGCCAGGCTGGTCTTAAACTGCTGACCTCAAATGATCCACCCGCCTCATTCTCTCTCACGCCTGGCCTGCACTGTAAGTTTTAAGAGTCTACTTAAAATCTTTTTTGTATGTTTTAATAAATGAGTAGCTACAGATTGAACTAAAAATTAAAAACTAAAGTCTATATTGAGCTGAAGAAATTGTATTCAGTAATTTTCACAATTCTTGTGGGTTTTCACTGTAACTTAAGGATAAAAGAATTGGCTACTTGGGCTGGGTGTGGTGGCTCACGCCTGTAATTCCAGCACTTTGGGAGGCCAGGGTGGGAGGATTGCTTGAGGCCAGGAGTTTGAGACCAGCCTGGGCAACATGGTGAGACTCCATCTCTACTAAAAATACAAAAATTAGCTGGGTGTGATAGTATGCTTATAGTCCCAGCTAAGCTACGGCGGGTGGCGGTGGCGGGGTTCTGAGGTGGGGGGATCGCTTAATCCTGGGAGGCAGAGGTTGTGGTGAGCCAGATCATGCCATTGCACTCCAGCCTGGGTGACAGAGTGAGATACTATCTCAAAAAAAGAAAAAAAAAAAAAAGAATTGGCTACTTTAGTTCCTCAGATGCAGTAATTTCAAAATGTATTTTTGATAATAAAACTGACTTTTAAAGAAAAGCGTGTTTTGCATTAGGTAAACTTGCCAATTTCGGTAGTCATTGCTGTAAATGAATAAGTTCTGTTTTAAATATTAAAGAGATCTAATTTAATCCCGATGATTTTAAATTTATAATGAAAAAGATATATTAAACATAGTATGGTACAACATGGAATAGCAACTTAATTTTTGAGGAGGGGTAGATTGTATCTTTTTTTAATTGAGAAAATCTGATTATTTTGTCTTTCGATTTTAGAGTTTGCTTTTTGGAACTGCAAGCTAGCACATACACAGTTAATGATGTATGTCTATGTATGATTCATAATGATGTGTGTCTATGTATGAATTCAGCTAATTTTGATTTGGTTTCCAGAGCTAACCTTCACAACATATTATTTGAAACACATGGTAACATTTTTTCTGAGAAGAGTGAAGGTTTACTCTGTGCCATTTATCTCATAGCATGTTGTTTGTGACTTCTATTGGGTTAAGGTGCGTGCCCTGATAAATAGTAAATAGTGGTGACAATATATAATAGCCATTTTTAATCAATATCAGAATTAAATGAGTAAATAGTAAATACACATAAATAGCCTACTATTAATGGTAGCATTTTATATACCAAATGTTTTGTTAAATGCCTTATTTGTATATCTAATTTGATCTCATTTAATGGGTGCAGGAGCCTGACTCCTACTTCCAAGCTGTGTGACATGCAACTTTTTTATCCGTTGGGACTTCGGCTCCTCACTGGTAAAGGTGGAATAATAATAGTATTTCCTTAATGCTTTTAACACAAGATTAAATGAACTAATCTTTATAAAACTTATAGCAAATGACTTACTACTATTTATTTAGTCATTTACATACCAGGCTAAAGGCCAAGTGCTCTTCTTTGTGCTGCTTTTTGAGTAAATCAAAATTGCTACTCTTGTGGTACTAGCATTTTGGTACTAGGGAAGACAGGCAGCAAACAAATATATTCTGTGTCAGGTGCTCATGGGTGCTAAGAAGAAAAATAAAGCAGATAGAGGATTGAGAGTGACAGTATGGATAGGGAGTTACTGTTTTATATAGGATTAGTAAGAAAAGGACTCCCTGGTAAGGCAACATTTCAGTCTGAATGATGTGAGAGAGCAAGCTGTGGGGGAAGAGGGTTTCAGGTTGAGGAACAGCGAGCACAAAGGCTGTGGGGCAAGAGTATGTTTAGTGTGTTTGAGGAGAAGCAAGGAGGCCTGTGCAGCTGGAGTGGCAGTACAAGGGGAAGAGTGGTAGATGAGATAGGCAGCAGAGGGCTAGATCATGAAGAGGCTTTGTAGGTCATAAGGACTTTGGTTTTCGTTCTAGTGATATGGCAAGTCATGACAAGTTTTGAGCAGTAGAATGACATGATCTGACTTAGGTTTGAAAAGGATTACTCTTGCTGCTCTATGGATATTATAGTGTGTGGGAACAGGGAGTCCAGTTTAGGAGGCTTATTTTACAATTACAGTTACAGAAAAGAGATGACACAGTGGCTTGGACTGCGGAATTGAGGCAGAGATGATGAGAAGTAGTGTATTCTGGATATGTTTTAAAGGTTGGACCAACAAGATAGAAGAAGAGTCAAGAATGACACTTGGTTAGGGTCAGTGGCTCACACCTGTAATCCCAACACTTTGGGAGGCCTAAGCAGGAGGATTGCTTGAGGCCAGGAGTTTGAGATCAGCCTGCGCAACAAAGCAAGACTCCATCTCTACAAAAATTAGCTGGATGTGGTGGGATGCAACTGTAGTCCTAGCCACTTGGTAGATTGAGGCAGGAGGATCCCTTGAGCCCAGGAGTTTCAGGCTACAGTGAGCTATGGTCTGTTTGTACCACTGTACTCCCGCTTCGGCGACAGTGAGATACCCTGTGTTTAAATATATTTTTAAAGACATGGTTTAAAATATCATGACTGAATGATTCTTAAATTTTGTCCCTAGAAGGATGGAATTACCTTTTTACTGACAAGAGGAAGACAAGTGGAAGTATGGAGTAGATTTTGAAGTGTTCATATAGAATCTAGGTTTTTGGTTTTGATCTTGTTAATGTTGAAGTGCTTATTAGATGTCCAAATGGAGATTTAGAATGGGCAGCTGGCTATATGAATCTAGAGTACAAAGAAGAGGCACCAGATTTGAGATAGAAATAAGGGCTTTATTAGTATATATCATCATAGAGGGTATGGTTGCCTAGGGAATAAAATAAAGATAAACAGGAGAAGAGTTTCAAGGACTAGGCCCTTGGACAAGCCACCTTTTTAGGTGTGAGGGAGGAAAAAGTGATCAGCTGTATCAAATGCTGCCAGTGAGGACGGGATTCATAATTGGATTTGGCAATGTGGAAATTACTGGTGACCTTAAGAAGAAAAGTTTCTTTTCTTGGGTGGTGGAAAATGAAAGTGTTATTGGAGTAGGTTCAGGAAAGAATGAGAGGTGAGGGCGATGACGTAAGTATAGATAGTTTTTTGAGGAATTTTGCTGTAAAACAGAGAAATAGGATAGTATCTCTATGGTAAGGAGGATTTTTATTTCATTTGCGAGATTTTAAAGTGTTTGTATATGAAGTGAGTCAGTAGGGGAAGAAAAATTGATGCAGGGATAAGAGGGGACATTTACCTAAGTGAGATCCTTAATTAGGTGAGAAACAATGGATTAATAATAATTTCTTTATAATAACTCACAAGAGACATTTTATTCTCATTTCATCAATTTGCTGGTATTTGACTATTATGGTATGCTACCTTTCCAGTTAAAACTTGTTCTAAATTTGGGAGCTGAGTTGAATCAACATATAATTAAGTTGAGGTTAGTCTTCATATAAAAGTTGCCAGACTTGTTTCCTTCTTGTAATTAATTTTAAATTGGAATCATTGAGAGTGACCTGGGAAATGGAATGTTTTAGCCTAAATTACAAATATGTTGATTTCCAAGTTACCCCAGATTTTAAAATGGATATTTGAAAATAGTTTTGGCTTTGGTGTGTTTCTGTTACATACTGACTTTGTATACAATGTATAATAAATGTTATAATAAACATATAAACATATAAAAACATATATAAATATAAACATATATAAATGTGCATTCATAGGCAATTTCTATTTTGTTAACATAGGGAGACTTTAAGTATAGCCAAGTTTTATCTTATATGGTTTCCAAAAGTAATTATTTTCCTTTCCAAGGTTACCTTTTTTTTGAGGTAGAAAACAAATATTTCATTGTTACTGGGTGCTGTGGCTCATGTTTGTAATCCCAGCACTTTGGGTGCCCGAGGTGGGAAGATAGCTTGAGCTCAGGAGTTTGAGACTAGCCTGGGCAACATGGCGAAACCCCCTCTACAAAAAATACAAAAATTAGCTGGGTGTAGTGGCATGTGCCTGCAGCCCCAGCTACTCCAGAAGCTGAGATGGGAGGATTGCTTGAGCCCATGAGACTGGGGCTGCACTGAGCTGAGATCGCACCACTGCACTCCAGCGTGGGTGATGGGAGTGAGACCCTGTCTCAAAAAAAAAAAAAAAAAAAAAAAAGAAATTATTGTTGTATGGCATGAAAGGGTCTTATGCTATATAGTAATTAGAAAAATCACATTAATCAAAAACTTACTTTAAGTTTTATAAATGTTAGCTCTCTAGTACTTGATTTTCTTACTTTTTTTGTCTTTATAGGCATAAATCATATCATGGAAACCTTAAATAAACTCAGAACCTAGATATAGTTGTAACTAATTAGGCTGTGTGAAAATGGCAAGTTTTTGAAAGTGCTTAAAAATATTGTTCATTTTTGTATTGATATAGATTAAATAGAATAAATATCATTAAAGAATAAATATTGACAGAACTGTTGTTCTATCTTAATGAATTCTAATCTATGTGACATAAGGCAGGCACATTTGGAGGATTTAAAAGAAATTAATTTGATTAGAAATGTACTGTGGTTGTCAGAACTACCTTACCTTGATGTGTAGGAGACAGTATGTGTCCCAGGGATATGTGTTGAAATGATCTCGAGCTAAAAGTCTGAAAAGCCTTTCTACATGACTTCCAGATATCTTCAAACCAATCTTCTTGCTTGTCTTGCACTATACAGAAATATGTCAGCAACCCCTAGAATGAAGTTGTACAG